ATATCCAGCCGAGGTGTCGATTCTGGGCATTTAAACGTTGCATATATCCAGCCGAGGTGTCGATTCTGGGCATTTAATGTTTCATATATCCAGCCGAGGTGTCGATTCTGGGCATTTAAACGTTGCATATATCCAGTCTTGGTACCGATTCTGTGTCCGTACAAATCGTTTGTACCGTGCCGCGTTACCTATTCTACGTTCGTACAAATCGTTTGTACCGTGCCGCGATATCTATTCTACGTTCGTAAACGTTGCATGTTGCGTGTTTGATGTATCTGTGGTGTACGGCCTGCCTTATACATATGTACAGTTTTATTATTATTTTAATAAATAAATATAATTCAAATCATATCGTGTTTGGTACCATCTTAATCAGAAAAATCTCACAAATGCGTTAGTAAAAGTTTCATTAAGAAAAAGTTAAAAATAAAAAAGTTTTATCGTTCAATTAGTATTAGTCACACCGATATTACGGTCGGATCATATTACACGGTTTCCTCGCCGAGCGGCTCGGTTCGGCTTAGGGGGATCCCCCCAAGTGGAGGGGATAGCGATGTTGCATATATCCAGCCAAACTTTTGTTGCATATATCCAGCTTTTACTGTAAATGCAACCAAGATTGGGACCCAGTGGTTGCATTTATCCAAGCGAGGTGTTGAATCTCGGGTTACACGCGACGACCAGCCAAGCGTGAACGTAGAAAGGGACAGACAGTGGGGAAAGGGAGAGAGGCCCAATGATCAAAGGAAAAAGCGAAACGTATCGGTGTGACTAATACTAATTCAACTATAAAACTTTTTTATTTTTGACTTTTTTTTAATGAAACTTTTACCAGCGGATTGGTGACATTTTTCTTATTAAAATGATACCAAACACGATATAGTTTGAATTATAATTACTTGCTAAAATTGATGTTAAAAGTTGGCGAAAAGCAAGAGAGATCGAAATCAAAACCGGTCGCGGTGTCGGCTCTGGTTTCAAAGGTTTCATTTATCCAGGCGAAGTGTCGATTCTGAGTCCGTACACATATGTTTTGTATTCAGCCGACATGTCAATTCTGAGTCTGTACACATCTTTTGTATTCAGCCGACATGTCGATTCTACGTCCGTACACATCATTTATATTCAGTCGTGGTGTCAATCCTACGTTGTTTATTCTATTATTATTGTTTATAAATATAATTCAAACTATATCGTGTTTGGTGTCATTTTAATCAGAAAAATCTCACAAATGCGTTAGTAAAAGTTTCATGAAGAAAAAGTTAGAAATAAAAAAGTTTTATCGTTCAATTAGTATTAGTCACGCCGATATTACGGTCGGATCATATTACCCGGTTTCCTCGTCGAGCGGCTCGGTTCGCCTAGGGGGATCCCCCCAAGTGGAGGGGATAGCGATGTTGCACTTATCCAAGCATTCTTTCGTTGTATTTATCCAGGTTTTACTGTATATCGCTTGACTGAAGAAATGCGTCCGAACAGGTCTTTAAGGCTGGTTCATACACGGCTAGTAATTTAGTCGAGTGGCGAGTAATTTAGTAACTTGCTATGTATGGACACTATAGTTTAGTCGAATAGTTTAGTAAAACGATTTAGTCGAGTAGATCCGTTTCATTGGATTTTTCTGGTCGAGTAAGCTTCCCCCACCACTAACTAGGCTTCCGAACCGACCTGTCAGGATGCATTTCTTTAATCAAGCGATATATCTTGTACTCTCAATTTCCAAAGCTCAATTGTACTAGTCCAGACACTTTTCTATGCGTTAAACGGTTTAATAGTAAGTAGCTACTCGCTACTCGACTAAATTACTAGCCGTGTCTGAACCAGCCTTTAGATAGGCCAGTGTCTACCCCCTTAAGTATTGCTTATAACTCAGTCAAAGCCTAAACACTTAAAAAACTCGATACAGTGCACAACATAGCTCTTAGAATTATTTGTGGCGCTCATCGCACTACCCCCATAAATAGTATAGCATATCTAACTAAAAAAATGCCATTATACCACAGAAGAACCTTACTCAGCTTAAGATATGCAACTTCAGTAGCAACCATATCCACTAACGCCGTATACAATAATACCTTTGACAAAAGGTTTACTATGCTGTACAGCAGACACCCTAAATATACCGTCTCGTTCTATCAAAGAATCCACAAACACTGCATCGAACTAGATATCCACCTTCCACCACTCCTAGATCGAAGATCCCACAAGTCGGCATCAGCATGGACCATCAAACCACCAACCACCAACCCACAACTCTGCATATGTATAACAAAACACAAAGTAGCTCAGCAGAATACAGGGTAAGGCTTTGGAATGATACCACACTTGTATTTTATTCAAACTGTAGGTAAAGAGTGTTTAGGGTATAACCAACTAAAATATGAAGTCCTAACGTGCGGAAATGGCAATGTGTGAAGTTGTGGTATATCGAGTTTTCTAGCTTTCCTAAGCTAATTTATGGTTTAAATTAAAAAAAAAATTATATTATTTCTACGTAGCAGACAAAAAACTAACCGAACCTTATTTTTCTTTTTACGCCTTCTTGGTGAAATCAGCCGGCACCACGTGAAGGTGAGGAAACGAAAGGTAGATTTTCTAGTGTTGGATAGCTCCCTTTGCTCCCTTAACTCGAAGCTCCACCCACTAACGTCTGCCCATTTTTGTCCAACCTTTATCATTTTTCGCGATGCCCAGCGCCATCTTCTTGCAAAACTTATCCCAAAAAAGGTGAAAAAGATCGGTTTTCGCGATTTTCTATATCTGGCACGTTGAACTTTCCGCACGTTGACACTTTATATTTACGTCATCCCTAACCTAACACATATATACATATGAAGTTTAAACACAATAGGAGTGTGGTATCATTCCAGAGATAAGCCGAATATAGATACCTATTCCACAAAATATGTGAGAAATATACGGAATGTGTACTAATATACACTGAGGCATCCAAATCTGAGAAAAAAAACAGGCATAGCAATTGTTACACCATCTATCACTATACAAATCAACACCCCATACATATTTAGTATATTTCAGCTGAATGCCACGCAATATTAAGAGCTGTTCGGAATATTAAAGACATGCAATATAGTAAATGCATCATCTTTGGCGACTCCCTAAGTGCCATAAAGCTATACAAAACATGTCAACCACTAATGGAATAATAAGAAACATACACGAGCTGTATAACGAATTGCTAAATTAAGGAACATCAGTATGGATACCTTCCCATTAAGAAATTCCAGGTAATGAAAGGGCTGACAGGGCAGCCAAAGAAGCATTGTCTCTTGAACCCACTGAAATAATATCGGCCGAACACATCGATTTCTTAGCGCGTCTAAACAGCCACTTTAAACGGAAATGAAACGAAAAATGGAAAAGGGACATTCCATCCAAATTACGCAACCTTACGGAAAATTTCTACACAAACCACGACACAACCAAATTCAGTAGAAAAGAACGAATAATAATCAACAGACTACATATTGGATACACGAAAATAACCGACAACTTCATCCTAAACAAAACTCCTCCACCGATTTATGAATCGTGCCAACAAACCATATCTTATCAGACTGTAAGGATACAGAAGATACAAGAAATCGACTCGAAATTCCCAACCAAGTCAGTGAAATATTCAAGAACGAAGAGAACCTGAAGAAAGCAATCAAATTCGTGCAAAAATAAAACCTCACAAACGAAATATAAAACTAGTAACCGTGATCGCTAATAACCAAGAAGTTAATGCGATCCTAAACCCCCTCCCCCCAAAAAAATTACATGGTAAATGTATGCTGTATGCTGATGAAGAACAAAGTAATTATACAATGAACCTTAACGGATGTGATACTCTTTTGATATACTACTTCGAATCATTGTTCCTCTAGTTTACCCTACGTTCATTAACCGATCGTATCAATTCCCAAAACAACCCTCTGAGAGAAAAAATGAAACCCCTTTTGAAAACAGTTTTCTCCTCCATCAATGTTTCAATAAACCAATTGGGCAACATTGACGAGCAAGAAATCATTATGAACTCATCGATGCTATCGCTGTCGTAGGCCGTAGCTTATGAAACGGAATCCAAATTGCTCTCTGCCGTTGGAAAAAGATTGCAGATTGGCCGGTTCATTGTCTTAGGGGTTGGCGTACAGTAAGAGCCTTATCTGTTCATTAATCTATACACAGTTCGAGCCCCTGACACGTCCCTCGGGTATACACAAACCCCTTTCCATCGCTCACCGGTGCCGGCTATTATTAAGGCTAGAGAGAGCAGAGGGCGTGCAAGGTCCAGGAATAAGGGCTGCGCCGGACACGAGTCGCACCTCGACCACTGCCAATTCCCTATTATCCTTGGCAATCAGCCATTTTTCCTTTTTACCTGGATGTTTCAAGGGATTCCCGTTCTTCTGCAGTTAGAACATCGAATTTGTTCGAGAAGGATGGTGCTTCGAAGAAAGGATGCCTTTGATTGCTGGCAATAGGGGATGGTCCGTCTTATGACCACATGATTTTCAAGGGTAGTCGATGGAATTGATTTTAGACACGGAAAATCGAATTCGAGGAATGTTTCGCATGATGTTTAACCATTTGCGATTCTATTTTTTATACGTATTAAGGGGTGTTAGATTTTGATTTTGGTGAAAAATTACGAATTTCGTAAGTACAATTTTGTTTTATTTTCTTAGGAGCAAACTTTGAAAATTCGTCAAGAATATAGTTTCTAAAATTTTTGAAAGCCCTCTCATTAAAGTAATCAAGGATACAAAAGGAATCAAACAAAAATTTTTAATGATATCGCTTATAATTCCTGAGAAAAAGAATATTGAATATTGGAAAATTTAACTTATCAGAGTGAAAATCATGAAAATCAGCGTTCAACCCTAAAAGGATAACAATAAAATAAATGGTATACAGTTAAATAAAAGTAGCTTCTCAAACGTTTCGATATAGGATCGAATGGTAAATTACCAATAAACTCGATGAGAGATACTCACCAGTTAGAAGGAACAGTAACACGGTCGGATCCATTCCCAAAGCCGAAATTCGTCGGACCGTAATCAATTCAACGCATTCTCGGAACATTCCTGGAACAAGAAACGAGCTGGTCAGAGGGTGAAGCAAGAAACATGGGTCAAAGGTGGCAATGCTCGAGAACCTCGGTATTTCCCAGTGACAAATTCCATTAGCACCGATATAAGCAAATGGATGTTCAATTAGTAACACGTTCTCAACCCATCTTCTGATCAATTAACATGAAAATACCACCGTGATATAATTTATAAAATATTCAGTGTTTATTAAAAATTGGTATGTTAAATAAATTTTTTTTAATTTATGAGGTTTTAATTTATAAAGATTTATTTTGATTTATCAGATTAACAAATTTATAATAATATTCGAATAGAATTTAATCTATTTTAAAAACTGGAAGAAAATTTTGTATGTTTATTAATCGTGTGGCATCTTAATAAATTCTAATTAAACTGAATTTCTATGTTCATTTACTACTTGTTAGAATTTATTATGACACTTGTTCCTGCATTAATGATAATACACGGTTCCCAGTAACCCCTTTTATTTAATAAATTCAAGCGAACGTAGGTAACGCTTATTAGCGTTAACTGACTTTACAGGGGGCGTTAACAGGCACAGAGAATCACACCGAATTAGCATACTACCCCTACATCTGTTGACCATTAATCAATTAGCGTGATTTCGTGTGGGTACCCACTCGCTACCGCGCAACGACTGTTAGAAAGCAATAGGATATATCCCTCGTGGAAAATTCCCGATAATCGAACTCACGCGTGAAAATGATTATAGCAAAAACCGCGGACCACCACGAAACTAAATTTCAATAACAGGACAGAATTAGCAAAACGATAGGGATGAAACATCTATATGGTGTTTAGATTACAATTATCACGATCTGATTTCCTAAAAAATATTTCTACCACCTGCAAAAGATAATTTTGTAAAAGGATTAAAACACATGTATTCTATAGGGAAAAAAGGATTATTTATTTGTATTTCGTGGTGATTGTGAACCGGAAACGGATATCCGCGACGTGAAAAATGACCACCGTCGCGCTTCCGGCCTCCGGCATCCCTACGAAATATCACCACTGACTACTTTCCTGACTGTCCAACGTAATGTGCTTTCAGTGCTGGCTACCCTCACGTTTCATCCCCTATTCACCGCACCTCTGTTAACCCCTACGCGACTATAACTCGGTCGTCGTTCCTTCGGGAGCAGGCCAGTGTACTGTGCGTGATCTTCTAGAATTTATATCGGAATTTGTGTTACCCTGAGCTTCAATCGTATATCCTCTCTGTCTGGAAATGGAAAAATTCTGAAACGAAGGGGTGCGGTTTTACTCGCTATTTTCTGATGGAACGATAAAGGCTAATAAGAAGTATTCGGAGGTAAAATTGTATTTTCTTATGTTTCGTTGGTATTTAGAATCTACAAGGGTAGTTCTTAACCGTAATACCTACAAATAAAATAGATAAATACCATCAGCTTATAACTTAACTAAAGATTAAAAGGTTTAACTTTTACTTACAATTTCCTTATAATTGAAGTACACTTAATTTTTATTATTTCAATTGAGGTATAGGCCAATTTATAGTAATCAAAAGATTATTAATTGGCTGATAGGTAAATTGTTAATATTGAAAAGAAATATTTTAATTGGATTAACAATTTTTTTTTTCACCAGAATAATATTCTATTAACATTGCAGCTATTTGCAAAAAATTTACCACGATTTGAGATACATACACTTAAAAAAAAAAATAGAATATTTTAATTGAAATTCCAGAAACGTACAGATACGCCCTCGTATACGTTCGAGAATGAATTTCTTTTTCTTTTCCATTTCCACCGTCACATTCGTCGCATTCTATACGTACACATTCCCACCTTCCCCTGGACAGCATGAAATATTAAGATAAATTGTATTACGTTGGTTGAGGAGCGTCCTGAAAAATTGCGCGTCACTCGTTCAGAAATAAATGAATATCTTAGCCGCAGGACCATCAATCTTATCGCTTATCGACCGGTTTATACGGGTACCCAGGTTCAAGCTAATATACGTTTCAATCCCGCACTATAATCGAACCCTTTCCATAGGAAACCCTTCAGAAGAATTTCCTGAATTAATCATTGATAAGGGTGGTTTTATTTATGGAAAAAATACTTAATTAGTAGTATATAAATAAATGAAGCACTGCGATCAGCCACCGTTAGACCAGACCTCGCTGTGCAAATCTGTTCTTATTCTTCATGTGCCAGTTTATTGGCGAAAATTCTAAAAATAAAAATTAGGACTTTGGAAAAGAATCACTAGAGTCGTCAGAAACGAAGTTATCCGCTTATTGCCCGTCTAATACCTCGAGCAACCTCTAGAGAAACAAAGACACTCACAGACTGAAAGGGTCCCATTTCTTGCGATGAATCGAATTTAGGGAATTCGCGTCTTCTCCGCACGTTTTTTCATCCGTTCGTCAAAGGGATAGCGTAACGAACACGCAGGGCGATTCGCGATTTACGAGTTCTGCGAGAGGGAGGGATGAATAAAGATGAACGTGCACCGTTGAGCAGCGTAAAAATCATGATTTCTGCGGCGTTACCAGACCACAAGCAGCCGGTGACTTCTTTCGCCGCGTATCCGAGCAAAAAGCTTTGAGAGCAGTCGAGTCGAGCATGAAATACGAGGCAAAAGCATCAAACGGTCGAGGGCAAAGTGACAGACTGGGAGAAGCTTGAAAAAACCTTTTTCTCCCGTCGCATGATCGAACGAAAAAAAATATATATATATCAACGTTCGTTGCAACGTGTCTATGGTTACTCACCGTGCATCCCCGTTTCTTCAACGAATAATGCATTCATGCGATACGAAACGCTTGATCCCGACGACGACCGTTTTGCGTAATGCTCGTCGTCGACGTCGAGACCTTTAATAATTCTATTCTCTATCTCTTCTCCACCCTTCACCCCATCGTTTTCACGTAACCACCGTGTTCCCCTTTTTTATGGAACATTTTCCGAAACGTCTGCGAACAAGATTTGCTGACGAAGTGTGTATGTGTGTTTTAATGGTTACGATGTTTACGAGATACAAAGAATATTATGTTACGGCCTTTGATGAAGTTTTTGATAGAGACTTTTGTAGTAAAGGTTCAAAGTGCACTCCTTTGGTATAATTAGAGGTAGTATGAAGGGTGTAGATTGTGTGTTGAAAAATTAAAAACCTTTTTTTTTATTAATAAATATGAGAATATTTTCGAAAATCTTAGAACAAACATAAAAAAATATTTGTTTGATTCCCCTATATTGCAATTACGACTACGACATTGATGGATTGTATTTTGAAAGGTCGTTGATATGATACTTTGATTAAGGGTAGAATTTATAAATAAAGAATTCTTCTGGTTCTTTTGAAAAGAAGGAAGCATGAAATTACATGTCTCGGATCAGCACAGATCCTTTAAGGATCTCGTGTCTGGTAATGGAAACCATTATTGCAGAGAATATCAAATGGGGATGGGGGAGAGGGGGGTGATCGGTTTAATCGGTGGAAAATCTACTTTGCCAGAAAATTATGATATTGAATTCGTTGGCACTCGAACAAGTCCGTAGACCAGCTTTGCGACGATCGATCGTTCAGCTCACAGAAACTCGACTCCGCCTTTTGTCCGCCGAAGGATACGTCTAAATCGCTTATCCGTACATCTTGGCTCACCTGTTGAATACCAAAGAAGTTTCAACGCCGATAGACCCGTGCCAGAATAATCTGAAATAACGAGGAACCTTCTTGAGCGTTCGTGAACGATAGATGGAATCGGTCATTTCGACTGTTCCTCGGAACTTGATGCCTTCATCTTTTCGATCCTTGGTATCTATGTGTAAACCATAGTGCAAGGAGTAAATTTGTTAAGAAAACAATATTTTAGGTCCTGTTTTGAGAGTTTGAGGAAACCAGAGTCGGTAGTTCTAAGTAGGTGCCGTGCGTCGCCAACTCTCCGGACGGATCCTTGGTATCAATAAAGAAGGATAGTGCAAAGATGCTTGGTATCTATAAAGAAACAGACATAGTGCGAATAGTAAGTTGACACCAAAAATAATTTTTAAGTTCCTGTTTAGCTAATTTCAAACTTAGAAATTTTCAGTAACTTAAGTCTTAGAGTGAAAGCCTAAGCCTAAATGTTTCAAATAGAAATAAAATATAAGGATGGATTGATGAAAGTTTAACGATACAGTTCTTCCCGGATCTTAACGTGATTAATTCGAAAGAAAGGAGCAAGTAGAAACGACCACGAAGCTCAGCAAGGAAACTTGTTTAAATGCAAACACAGTAAGCTCCCGGCAGTAGTCCACGTCGCGTAACATCCCGTAAACAACCTGTAACGCTGCTACCGGGGCTATTATGAAATCCAATAACGCAACTTAAGACGTCGTTATGAAGCAGCAAGTAAACCAACCGCTCGCGCTCTACCGCTTCGTTACACCTACCCATGAAATCATGGTTTTACTTCGAAAGTCGACGGAAGAATAATAACTGTTCTTGACAACGCGATACGACGACATTTACTTTCTTCTGATGACATCGATGCATGGAAAACAGATGTATTATGACTTATAATACAAATATAAATATGATAATTTAGAATTCTTTAAGCAATGAATGAATTATAATTAAATTTGTAAGCATTACATTTTTGGAAATATAAAATTTTGTACATCTTCGATGAATGTTTTAATAATTTAGGAATTTAATAATTTGAGAATTTGGCAATTTGATAATTGATGATCGAATAGTCTAGCAGTCTAGTAGTCTAACAGTTTAGTAATCTAATAGTCTAACAATCTGATAAGTTAGTAATTTAAAATATTATAACACATTTTATAAAAAAGAAAAGTCTTTTTACAGTTTACATTGATGGTTCGTCTTGATCGCGTAGACAGAAATCGAAACCAGACCTGTATCGAGTGTCATCGAGTGCACAAAATTCGATTCGATATTCCTCAAGCACTTTCGCGTAACGTACGAAGTTACATTCGGATTGCACCCTCGACAAA